GTTATCTATGTGTGTCTTCACTGACCCAGCAATTAGAAAGCTGTAAATATATGCATTTCTCAATATATATGGCATTCAAGGAAATATTATACATATTTGTATATTGAATAATCCTCAAAAAAGTTCATGAAAAATGCATGAAAGTGATCGTCCGTTATTCCCCAAATGACAGAAACAGCCAGGGCTGGGCCACGTGAATGCTGGGAGCCAGTAACTCTATCTGAGTTTCCCATGTGAGTGGCAGGAAACCAAACTGCTTGGCCCATCATCTGTTGCCTCCCGAGTTGCACAATGAGAGAAAGCTCCCCTTGCACCATTTTGAAGTACTGTTATGTGTCACACTAGCACGTTAAAACATTAAAACTAATCTTCAGAGGAGAAAGTTTAATCATTTGCACCAAGAAAAGATAAATTATAAAATCTATAATAAAGTACATGTATTAAAAGGTAAAAGAATACAGAGATTTATCTAGATATTCAGAGCATTGTATATTTGCCCTAATTGGCAAAGTTTTTTTTTTCTGTCATCATAAAGGAACATTTAAATTCATTATTAACAAGCATAATGTGAAAATACTTATTTTTAAATAAAGACAAATTAATTTGCTCTTATTTTAGAAATGCCATCATTACTTGGGCATATGCATGCTAACTTGAGAGCTGGTTTAATGAAAGAAGATATCTAAGGCCATTGCAAAAGAATAATGCTGACACCTTTTAAAACTTTAGAAACATAAAGCTATAGGAGACCGCTGGCTTATTTGTCTTACAAACAGAGCACATGTTCATAGACTAGAGTCTTATAAACCTGAAGGCATCAACTGCAGTTGTCACTAACTCCAACGTGATACTTGTTTTCAATCATTTCTAACCCGAGAGGCCTGGGTGATACAAACCCAATTTAAAGGTTAACAAAATTGTCTTCCCCTTTCTATATCGCAGCCAATAATCTGTCTCATAAAAAGGGGAGATCTTTACTGCCTCTCTGATCTGGAAGCATTTACTTTTGTTTTGACTTTTCAAAAACAGTGTAAAAATGGTTGTTCCAAAGATTTAGATGTGTACCTGATGCTCAGTTTATAGAATCAGTTTGTGTTTCATTTTGTCTAACTTGGACTGCATTTTTGTTCTTTGATGCGAGAGAAACTACAAGTGATTTGGTAAGCATGAAGTTAATAGGTCTGGGTAGGTAATGAGATAGAAGCAATAGTTCTTTCCTAGAGGTGGCATGGCAGAAGACCCTGGGCATAGGTTTTGAAGATACAGGGACCCAACATCCAGACTCTTGCAGATGACCCAGCCTTACCTTATCTTTCTGTAAAATGGGGGCATGATTATGAGTCCTATGATGCCATTTTGAGAATTAAATCAAAGAATGAAACACATGAAATATTTGCATCATATGTGTGAACTTTCTTCATCCATAGATAGTGATTTGGTCAGCTTCCACTTGGCAAAGATGCAGTGTTGACCTTTTCCTCGTTTTCCTTCGTCTGAGGGAGATATGGGGTACAATATCCTGGATTTCGGCCTACCAAGTTTTTATGGTTGCTGAAATAAATTATAGAGATGGTTTGGCTCTATCTTGAAGACAGAACACTAAGAAATTGGGTCCATTGCTGTCGTTTTCCTTTCAGATTCCTCTCATCTGTCACAACACAGTAGTTATGAAAAATGAAACCATAAATTCAATTTAGAGGGCAATTTGCAGCTAATCTTTGGAGTAATTCCAGTGTGAATAATGCAGCAATTTGGATGCATGGTCAGTCAATTCAGCCCTGATTTATTAGTATTTATGAAATCTTTCTTTCATTAATGATAATTACTAAACAAGAGAAATAATTTCTCCAAAATTATCTAATTTCATATCAGGCTTTCAGTTATGAAAAACGGTTTCATTGTTTGCTAAAATTATGATTTTAAAGGCTTTTATTATTTAAGTATGTAAGATATGTTTAGAATTTGAACAAAAACTCTTCCTAGCCCTTGGGTGAACTGCTCAGCCCCAGGTTATATCTGTCTTTTTTTTTTCTGATAAGACTCCCATTAGAGTTAACATTTGGAATATCTCAGCAGAAGGACCCTGGGATTTGATATTGATTTCCAACAGTCCTTACTCCTTGAAGGATGTATTAAAATCTAGCTGCAAAAGAATGACATTTTTGTTCATGTCTAAGACTGGAATTTATCTGAGATTTTTTTTTCCCTGGTTATTAAAACTCCACATTTTGACACATCCAATATGCTCTGAGTCAGTGCACTTACAGCGTGTGTTTAAATAGAGGATAACATGCATTAAAATCTATAAAGAACAGTTCTCAGAAAGTGTTTACATTCATTTCCTTTTCTGAATTTCATTGAATAGGTTTTAACTGCCTTGTGTTGAACTAAAGAAACAGGTATTTCAAAGCAAAGCAAAACAAAACAAAAAGATGTAATTCCTTTTCTTTAATTTTTTTCTGTACTCTAAAAGAACTTTATTTCCTAATCATCATCCCTTCTCTGTTTCATGGTAAAGTCAGAGCTGTGAATTGTTAGATTTTGTATTATTTCATTAAGTGAGGAAAGTGCTTGCAGTCCTATGTGCACAAAATCCCCTTCAGTTCTGGTATTCATTAAAATGCAATAAAGAAGTGGTGAATGATGGCCCTACGGCTGTAGTGGTGAACTGTGTCATTGCTGGTGCAGATCTTACTGGAATGGCAGAGCATACGCTCAAAAGTTGCCATTCATAGTATCTGGACAATTGCTTTGCAAATTTGATGGTACTCCATTATGTACAACGCTAGCTGCCTTGCAAACGGATCAATATAGCCATGCAGGTTGTCCCAGAAATTATGCATTTGTATTTTAAATATATAGTAGGTATTAAGTAAACCTGGAATATAATTTAGGATTGAAAGAGAGTAAGCATATTAACGTATTCACTGTTTGTCTTCATGTGACATAGGTTGACAGTGCTAGGTTCGAATGATTTCCTTGTTAGGAAAAAAAAAAGAAGCAAAAGAAAGAGAGAGAGATGTTCCAGGCACAGATGCACTGGCTAAGCTCATTAGCACAAGGTTGATATGCTTCTCCCGCCGTGGAAATCATGCTCTTGAATATGGTTTTGGCATTCTCCATCTGAAACAATGGAAGATCCTTAAACTTGAACTCTCTGCACATTTGTTTGTTTGTTATATTCCTTCAATTCATTTCTGGTTGTTGTCTCTTGACTTTCTAAAACGCAGTCTGAGGTGGAGGTTAAACCTGGAGCAGTGAGGAGAGGATGCAAGTGTTTGTTCAGCAGTGCTTTAGCCTCAGTTTCGGCCATTTCTCACCTGCCACGAGTTAAAGGTCAGTTCTTTTAACACATGACATTGGGAGGATATGCGGCCCTATCTTCATTTTCTCCTCCGAATAGCAACAGCGTTCAAAAATTCCTCACACAATGGTATCTTTGTTTTTCTCACTTTTATACTGTGAAAATGATATGAAATTCTACCAGAAAACATTTTTAAGTGCTGACTTAATTATAGCTAATTATTTGCATGAGTGTTTTAAATCTTAATTTATAAATTGTTTCTCTGTTTAGAAAGGAGACACAGTTTTACTGTTGTTTTATTTTAATTTCTGTTATCCACAAGAAAATGACAAGTGACTGAACACTTAAAGTGTTTATTTTTTCTTTAATTTTTAAAATTTATTTCCTTTTATTTATTTGGAAGCAGAAATTCAGAGACAGATATCTTCCATCCACTGGAAATGCCCTGAACAGCAATGGCTAAGCTAGGCCTAAGCTATGAGCAGGAAATTCAGTTCATGTCTCTCACATGGGTGGCAGAGACCCAAATTCTTGAACCATCACTTGCTGCCTCCTAGGGTACACATTAGTGGGGTACTGAATTTTAGAGTGGAATCTAGCCTAAAACCCAGGCACTCGGGTCAGATGTTGTGGTGAAATGGGTTAAGTGGTCACCTGCAATTCCAGCATCCTTTTTGGGCACTGGTTCAAGTCTTGGCTTCTTCACTTCTGATCCAGCTCCCTGCTATTGCACCTGGGGAGGCAGCAGAAAATGGTCCAAGTGCTTGGGCTCCTTCCCCTTTGTGGGAGACCTGGAAGAAGCTCCTGGCTCCTGGCTCCTGGCCCCTGGCTTCTGTCTGACCCAGGCCTGGTTGTTGTGTTCACATGGAGAGTGAACCTGCAGATGGAAGATGTCTCTCCCCGTCTCTCTGTAAATCTGCCCTTCAAATAAATTAATTAAATGTTTTTAAAAAGGTGGTACTCCTGTATGGGATGCAGTCATGAATGCCTGTCCCTAGCAGTATTTCCATTTCTATTATGTCACAAGAAAAAAAAAAGCTCTTCTAAGACTCTCAGTTACACAGGGCTCAACCAAATATAGCACTCTGAGACTAGAGATCTCCCATCAGGTTGGGGAATGTTTAGAGAGATTTCCTGGCCAATCAGAGCTCTCATGACGATATAAATTTGGTTCAGGTCCCTGAGAGGGGCCTTCTGTTCCTGGTGCCTTTGACAAACTGGTTAAATCATTGTTTGCTTTAGCCCATGTGTTATTTGCATTAACTTAAATCCTTGGGTATCTGCATAATTTGGTTTCCTTATCTGGAATTCTGTAGGCTCGTTTTATTGTTTTTTATTTTATTTTATTTTATTTTTTCAAAGTACAACTTCAGATAACTACTCTGTTAATTTTGTTAGGTCTTTGTAAAGTGACAACGGTTGCTTGCTTGGCCTACTTAAAGTGGCGATTCTTTTGCCTATTCAATCTCTATGTTTATTCAAGGAAGACGAATGTCCTCACGTTGAACCATAGGCTTGATTTTCTTGAGTCTTTTAGCTAAAATACGTCATATTTGAATTTTATTGAGAAAATACTTACTGTTTGTGCCTCCCCCAACTATCATTCACTTTTTGCCAAAGCTAATTGGTTCATGATTGGTATTTTTGTAACCTTTGTTATTGCAACTTTGTCAGTGTACCTATTATATGTGTTTAATTTTCTGATTTACTTCTTAAATTTTGTTGAGCTTGCAAATGAGGTCTTGTTCATTCTGGGACACTGGTAACTTTGATAGTTTGATACATGGCAGGGAATCAGTATGTGTTTATACAATTATATTTTTTCAGCTTTATTGTGGTACTATAGACAAAACTGTAAACATTTTAAAGAGTACAATTTGATGTGTATACACTACAAAATACTACAATAAAGGAAACACTTCCATCACTTCACAATTACCTTTTCTTTGGTGATGGGGGTGCAGGTCTCAAGAATGGTTAAAATATGTTCTTTTAACCAATTTAGATACAGTGCTTTTTTATTTTTTAACTTTTATTTAGTAAAAATTTATATTTACTAAAGTACAGCTTTAGTAAAGTACAGCTTATGGATTACAATGGCTTTTTCCCCCTCATAACTTCCTCCTGCCCGCACCCCTCCCATCTCCCGCTCCCTCTCCCATTCCATTCACATCAAGATTCATTTTCAATTATCTTTATATACAGAAGATCAATTTAGCATACATTAAATAAAGATTTCAACAGTTTGCACCCACACCGAACATAAAGTGTAAAATACTGTTTGAGTACTAGTTATAGTATTAATTCACATTGGACAACACATTAAGGACAGAGATTCTACATGAGGAGTAAGTGCACAGTGACTCCTGTTATTGACTTAAAAAATTGACACTCTTGTTTATGGCATCAGTAATCTCCCTAGGCTCTAGACATGATTTGCCAAGGCTATGGAAGCCTTTTGAGTTTGCCGACTTCGATCTTATTTAGACAAGGTCATAGTCAAAGTGGAGGTTCACTCTTCCCTTCAGAGAAAGGTACCTCTTTCTTTGATGGCCCGTTCTTTCTACTGGGATCTCACTCACAGAGTTGTTTGGTTTTTTTTTTTTTGTTTTTTTTTTTCCAGAGTGTCTTGGCTTTCCATGCCTAAAATACTCTCCTGGACTCTTCAGCCAGATCCGAATGCCTTAAGAGCTGATTCTAAGGCCAGAGTGCTGTTTAAGACATCTGCCATTCTATGAGTCTGCTGTGTATTCTGCTTCCCATGTTGGATCTTTCTCTCCCTTTTTGATTCTATCAGTTAGTATTAGCAGACACTAGTCTTGTTTATGTGCTCCCTTTGACTCTTAGACCTATCAGTGTGATCAGTTGTGAACTGAAATTGATCACTTAGACTAGTGAGATGGCATTGATACATGCCACCTTGATGGAATTGAATTGGAATCCCCTGGCACATTTCTAACTAGTGTTAAGTGTAGTCATGGTGTTTGTACAGTTAGGTGTCAGTTTTGTTTGCCTAACAGCTCCCAAGTGATGTCCATGCTGACTATTTCTACTCAATGTATCTTAGGTCAATTAGGAAAAGCAATGTCCCCTAGGAGCTTATGACAAATACTCAATGGCAAACCTCATCTTGGATCTTCTGAATCAGAAAGGTGTTTTTCTAAAATCACCAAGTTAGTCCTTGCTGATTTAGAAGGGGACAGAGATTTGAAACAATGATTGGGGTCCTCTTTGAGATGCCCACATTTCATATCTAATTGCCTGTGTTTGAATCTCACCTCTTCTTCTGATTCAACTCCCTGCTGAAGTACATTCTGGGGGATAACAAGTGATAGCTCAAGTGCTTGGGTACTTGCCATCCACATGGGAATCCTGGTTTGGGTCCTGGAGTTGTAGGCATTTTTGGAGTAAACCAGCAAATGGAAGCTAACTCTCTCTCTCTCACTCCATTTTGGATAAAGCAAAAATACATAAATAATTTTTAAAAAGATTTATTTATTTAGTTTACAGTCAGAGTTACACAGAGAGAGAAGGAGAGGGAGAGAGTGAGAGAGAGAGAGAGAGAGAGGTCTTCTATCTGCTGGTTCACTCCCCAGTTGGCCGCAACTTCTAGATCTGTGCCAATGCAAAGCCAGGAGCCAGGAGCTTCCTTCTAGTCTTCCCACGTCGGTTCAGGAGCCCAAGGACTTGGGCCATCTTTCACTGCTTTCCCAGGCCATAGCAGACAGCTGGATTGGAAGTGGAGCAGCCACTTCCAATGGAAGTGGATCTCAAACCAGCACCTAAATGGGATGCTGGCCCTGCAAGTGTCAGCTTTACCTGCTACACCACAGTGCCGGCCCCTTTAAATAAAATTTAAACTGGTTTAGCAAAATGTAGATCTGTATGTAAGTCGTTTATAAGCGTGATTCTTGGGCCAGCGACATTGACGATAACTGGGAATGTCCTGAAAAGGCTAGTTCTCAGGCCTAATCCTAAAAATACTGAATAAGACTTTGGTAAGGATGCAATGGAAGCTGTAACTCTTTAGATGATTCTGATGTATACTGAAGAGTGAGTGTCATTGTGCAAAGCATTGTCTAAAAATCAACTTACAACTGATCTAAACTGTGATTAATGGAAAGTAGATTCATGGCATGATGAATTAGATGAATGACTCAAATATGTCTTAACTTCACATAGCAACTTAGAATTGGCCAGTGAAATCAAAGATCTAAATTTAAGAATGGAAATGAATATATATACATATGTATATATTTTTAAACATATTTCTGTTTGACTCAGATAATCTTATTATCATAAAGGAATATTAGAATCTATTAATTTAACCTGTGAGAAGAAGGCTAATGACAGAGCTAAATGATTTGTCCCAGATCAGAGAAGTAATATTGCCCAGAATGGTGTTTTTTTCCTAGTTCCCCTCTTTGTCAGCAGAGGTCCTAAGATAATGTTTTTGTTCCCAGCCCGTTTTCTTTTTCTTGAGTGGAGCAGTTGCTTCCCTAACACCATCACAAATAAATAAATCTTTGGAAAAAAAAACCCAAATAGTTGGAATTTGGAGACTTTGTTTAGCAATATCCTTATTTCATAGATGAGGACTCCAAGGTGTTGAGAAATAGTATAAATATTTAAAAATATTATATGCTTAGGATTTTCTTAGCAAATAAAAATGACATGGTTACACACACACACACACATACATATATATAAAATACATATAAATATTTTTTTCCAGATTCCCTTGTTCTTTCTCCATAAAGGCATTAGTGGACAGCTTCTTATTTCCTTTATGGTACAGTCATTTGTTTTCATTCAGAGGACAATAAAACCTATTCCCTCTGAAGTCAAAGGCTTACAGTTGTCCTCTTACCAGAGACAATTTGTTTACTTGACGAAAATAAAAATCTTGACTTTCTCCCTTCCTCCTCCCCTTCCCCACAGTGGAGGGAGATGTTTAGAAGTACACCCAGGAGAGCAAGTACAAAGGCAGGCTTGAGAGTGGGAGGATAAAATGGCTGTTGGCATATCAATT